CTGCCGCAGCCAGCGCGCTGCGGCCGGCACACCACGCTGATCTGATGGCAGGAGCCAGGTGCTTCTCCTGGTCTCCCATGGGGTGCAGGGCCCAAGCACTTGGGCCATCCTCCACTGCACTCCCTGGCCACAGCAGAGAGCTGGCCTGGAAGAGGGGCAACCGGGACAGAATCCGGCACCCCGACCAGGACTAGAACCCAGTGTGCCAGCGCCGCAAGGCGGAGGATTAGCTTAGTGAGCAGTGGCGCTGGCCTTACCTCTTACACATTTAAGAGATGCTCTAACCCTGGTATCAGTGAGGCTGCTGCTGGCATAACACAGCATACTGTTTCATAGCAAACACTTTTATAAGTAGGCATGAACTCGAAAATAATGATAAAAATATAGTAATACATAAACCAACAATTTTCATTTTATTATCAAATACTGTGTACTGCACATGATTTTGCGTCTTATGCTTTTGTACAACCAGCAGTGCAGTAGACTTGTAAATAGCATCATCACAAACATGTGAGTAATGAGTCTATGACAGTTGTGGCATCACTAGATGATTGGAAAATTTCAGCTCTATTATAATCTTATGAGACCATCCAGGTATATATCTGTGGTAGACTAAAACATCATATGTGGCACAAGACTATATATAACATAATATTGGATACTATATTATGAAGGCGGTGGGATAGATGGATAGATAGATAGATATGGATATATATATACCGTAGACTTCATAGGGCTGTCGTGAGGGCTAAGGGAAACAATATGTGTATAGCACAGTATCTGACCTGTGAAGAGTACTTGTATCAGTCAGAATCTAGTCAGGGAATCAGAACCCACCCTAATTATCATAACAAAGAGAATATACAATGGCGATTGACCAAAGAGATTTAAAAAGAGAGAGAGAGAGAGAGAGAGAACTTTAAGGGAACAGAATGTTAACCACACAGGAAGCAGCTACATCCGCTGGGAGAAAAACAGGAAGGGTTGGAATGGGTTATCTGAGCTGGAAGCTGGGAGGCGGGGCCCACAGAGCTGAGATCCAGATGACCCTCAGAGGTCCACTGTGGATTCTTAAGGGACTGCTGCTGTTGCTGCCAGGGGAAAGGGCTGTTGCTAGGGAAACTCTGAAGGAACTGTAAACAAATAGAATGGAGCCGGTCTTCCTTCTTCCCATTGCCTTCTCTTCTCCATCTACCGCCTCCTACTGACAGAATTTAGAAAGACACAATGTGGCAGAGGGAAAATGTAGATTGCTGAATGGAGTTTAGAATGAAGAATTCAGAGTTGGGAAAATGTAGTTTAGTCTGCATGTTTAAACATCCCTCTACATATTTTTGAACTTTGTCTGAAAAGATGATACAATTTTCCTTTGCCCTCCCCTCTCTCTGTAAAGAGGAAGACACAAAGTCCCATAGTATTTCCTTCTGCAGAAGCCTGACGGCCTCACAGTGAAGACATGTGCATTGCACGCTGCTGGGCCTGAGCTGAATTCCTAGCTCTGGCTTCTGACTGTAGTAGCCTCATGAAATCCATTTCTGGGAATGTCAATTACCTCTCAAATTCTTTCACAATCCCTCCTTGGGGAATGGTAGTAGGAAGTCAAAATTTTACAGGGGCCAGCACTAGCATCCAGTTTGTTAAACTACATAAACTAATAAAAAGCAAAGAGAAATAGATAAAAATAAATTAGGGGGCCATCACTGTGGTGTAGCAGGTAAAGCTGCCATCTGTGACATTGGCATTCCATATGGGCACCAATTCTTGTCCTAGCTGCTCCACTTCTTATTCAGCTCCCCGCTAATGCACCTGGGAAAAGCAGTGGAGGATGGCCCAAGTATTTGGGTTCCTGATACCCATGTGGGAGATCTGGCTTTTGCCTGGCTCAGCTGTGGCCATTGTGACCATTTAGGGAGTGAACTAGCAGATGGCAAACCTTTCTTTCTCTCTGTCTCTGTCTCTCCCTCTCCCTCTTTCTGCAGCTCTTTAAAATCAATAAGTAAATCTTAAAAATTGGCTATTATGTATTCATGCAAATACGGTTTTCCATTTGTACCAGCAAGATTTTTTTCCAGGATCCCCAGTGATTATCAATATCTGTGAAAGCTCAAGTCCATTTTATAAAAAGACATAATATCTGCATGTAATCTACACACATCTTCCATATACTTAAAATTGCCTCTAGATTACTTACAATACCTTAAACAATGTAAATGCTGTGTAAATAATTGTTATACTCTATTGTTTCGAGAATAATGACAATTTAAAATGTCAGTACCTGCTCAATTCAGGTACAATTTTTACCCCATATAGGTTTAATCTGCAGATGTGAACCTCACAGATTAAAAAAGACTGACTGTAAAACATAAGGAAAGGGGTGGGGTCAGGCAGAGGAAGCATGCATAGCTGTTACAGTCCTCATTTCTGAAACTAAGCATGAAGTCATGGTTAATACTTAGGTCTTTCTCTTTCTACATCCACTCCATGTTCCATTTGTCCTCAAATGACTCATTTCTTTACAACAGGGCTTAACTAAGCCTTTGTTTCTGAAGGATCTGAATTTCTAGAAACCTGCCTTGTGGATTCTGTAGTTTTCTATTAACTTTTACTATTGGACATGAAAGTAGGAGCAGACTCACAGAGACTCCAGCTAATGGTTCTCTCTCTCCACTCACCATTTAGAAGCTACTCAAATCCTCTTTGATAATCCACATAAGTTGTCACAGTTTATGCAACAAACTCTTTCTAGTGTTGATTCAGTGACATAAGGATCCCCAAGTGGCAGATAATGGTTTTAAAATCCAGTTTAATAGGACATTTGGAATCTAGATACATCCCTACCTTGATAGCTAATGATTTGAACACTATCCTCAACTTTTTTTTTGATCATAAGGAAATTCCTTGAATTGAGTGAGCAGAAATAAAAGAGCAGAAGTAGGTATCACAGAACACTGCTGGACACATGAAGGCATTGATTCATTTTCTCATGTACATCCCTTAAAAGCTGCCACTTGATGATTGTCCAGCCTTATGGTTTAATGGGCCACATAGCACTCATTTCTTGAGGAGAAGCTTAGCTTGCAGGGTTATTTTGATATACTATAGTCAGCAGCTGAGTATGTGGATCAAAAATACTCCAGGAAGAGTTTTTCAGAGAGAGAGAGAGAGAGAGAGAGAGAGAGAGAGAGAGAGAAGACAAAGAAGCAGAAGAAAACATAAATTTGCTTCTAAATACTGCAAGTGATTCTCTTATCAGTGATTTCCAGGGTCTCCATGCAGTGTCCTTTCCACCACAGACACTGGAGGGGTAGGGACTTCTGTGCATCTGCCAATGGAAGAGCATCTTGCAGCACAGCCTGGAGAGGTGCACAGACTTCCCTTGCTCTGTATCCCACTCAAATGCCATGGCATCTGAATATTAGGTATCTGAAGAAAAGATACTGCCCACTTTGTGCTAGCTCTACCAAGGAGGCATGGCAAAGGTGCTCTGGGATTGTTGAAGGAAGCCGGCAAGGGAAAGAAATTGTTGCTTCCAAGTAGTAGACCATTGCTGGGTCAAAACCTAAGAAACAAGAATCAAATAGGAAGAGCTTGCTCCTTCACCTATTTTTTCTGCCTTTGGTCTTCCTCCAGTGCCCCACGGGTAGAGTTTAATAGAAAGTTGGCTGGAAAGCAGCCACATTATTTCAGAGTTGTGACCTGAGCATCATTCAACTATGTATAAAAAGATGAGTTTGCAGATGACACACAGTAGCTTAATAACCAGCGTGTATGAAATTGACAATCAACTTACTCTATTGCACAACACTTATAGAAGCACTTTAAGCTGGATTATTTTCATATTAGAAGAGCAGTGTGTAGTTTTCAAGGAAAGTTTTTAAAAAGAATAAAATAAAATTCACTCACAATCCCACCATTTTTGTTGTTCTACTGCCCTCATCCCACAGTCACTCTCATACACCCACATACATGTTAATATTTGAAAAAAATGGGGCTTTATTTTACAAGCATTTTATATTGTACTTAATAACTTCATGTATTATTAATATGTTTACTTATTACTAAATAATATACAACATCAATGATAATGTCCACACAGGATTATTGCACAGATATACTGATAGCATGATATTAATTTTTTTACCTTATTTGGAAAATTTTAAATATTTTATATAACTTGCATTGATAAATAATACTTAAATAACTATCATTGTTGGAGATTCTTTACATTTATTGATATGTTAAATTTTAGAGAAATGTTCACTGTACTCATTACATTCTGTTTGAAACTTAGAGACTTTTATTATGCATAAGGGTAGCTTAAAAATTTGGCAAAAATGTAATTAAAAGGTAAGTTTATTTTGGTGCAGAAAATTGAAATTCATGCATATGTATGGTCTTCATAAAGTTAATGAAAAATGCATACTGTGCAAAAATATGCATGGACTTTGAAAAATTTTTGCACCAAAATAAGGTTCCATTAACTTTTTGAAGTACCCTTGTAAAAGTCCTCTTGAAGAGTTTAGCATGTAAGACAAGAAATTCCTTGAATGGCAGTTTAGATGAAATCTAACTCCTTTCCTCCCTCCCTTCCTTCTCTCCTTCCTTCCTTCCTCCTTCACTCCCTCCCTTCCTTTCTCCCTTTTTTCCTTCCCTCTCTCCTCCCTTTCATCCAACATCATGCTATGGTATTAAACTAGGGGGCATTACTTAGATTACTGCACTCCTTTCTAGAGCAGAAATTATAACTAAAATCGCATATGGAAAGAGATTTTTTTGAGTGTGAGTAGTGATGAGAACAGCTGGGGTGGAGACTAGAGGAAACAGCAAGGACATTTAACATAGATATAAATGGAATTGCTTAGCAGAAAACCTTAGAATTTCTTATGCTAGGAGAATAAATTTGAATTGAATATATTTTCTTTACAAATATAAAATGCTAAATCTTGAGACCATCTGTGCTCTTTCTAAAAGTTTGAAATTGGAATATAGGTAAGTCAAAATGAAAAAGTCTAGGATGCCATTGTGTTGCCAAGCAACATTGCTAATCTAAGATCTCACAATCAAGTGCCACAAAAATTTAGCCACAATAAATGTGTCCCCAGAGCAAGTGAATCAGCATCAGCTATTTTAGGAGGAGTTTGTAGGGAGTCCAAAAAAGTCCCCAATGAAGATGAAATTCTTTTCAGGCTATTCTGTTTCTTTAGCGATGTAAAATCATATATCTCAATTCCCTGGTCCCCAAATCAGATATAATCAAGAATATAAAATGTATCCTATTCCATGCTATGAAGGCACTCACAATGAAAAGAGAAGATCACCTCCATATGAAGAGGAGACTATACCCTTATTCAGAAGACAGAAGCCCACGGCTAAAGTCAACTAATTGGACAGAAGTCTCATCTGGATTTCCTTATCAGACCCAAGAGCCAGAAGAGGATGAGAAAGTGTGCTGGTGCTCTTGTGCCTGGAAATGTTCTATTTAACTTCAATGATCTCTTTTCCTTGTCCAGATGTTGATTCAGCCTATAGTTTCTTTTTATTCTCCCCTCTCCCCTCATATTTTTCCTCTCAAAGAACTGCTTGGAAATGGAATTTGTTGACTGAGGATTTGCCATTTTCTAGCTAATGGAGATGGTCAGAGTGGAACTTCGGAAAATTTTAAGGAAATGATTTCAATTTATTAGATGGGCCTGATTGCCACGTGTGAAGATACACGTTTATTTAAAAGCCAAAGTTCTTTAAGCCCTGACTTCCTGCGAGGTTAAGCTGGAGAACTGGTGAAGGCGAATGACCCAGAAGAAAGTTCTCTTATCTGATCCAGGACCTCGCAAACATGGGAACGATTCTCACATCTACACATTGACTTTCATTCTTTCATATTTTGTGGCACTCCACATACCTTTCTGAACTGTCCTTGAATGAAGACATCAGAATATTGTTAATGGTTGGCCTGAGAAACTGTGATGGGATTTATACCTAGTAGGGAAGATCTGCTATCTATCAAAAGAATTAAATTGATCATGGAAAATACTGTTGGGTTTTAGTCTTTGAGAAGGTAGGATTCTCTAATACTTATTCTCTGCTCTTGTTAGGATATCCGTAAGTTATGTTATTTGGGCTAGTTATTATAAACAAGGATGTATGCATTGCTTACATATGTTAGGACAATTTTGCTAACATGCTGCTGTTTGTTATTGTTATGTCAAATTGAAGAAATGGTAAATATTTTGGTGATTCTTTAGTGGGACATTGGAGAACCTTATTTGACATAGTTGTTTGACTCTTACAGAAACATTTTAGTAGAGGTACTTTGAATTTACTACTCATGGTACAGAGGGGCTGAAACAGACTTAATGCTATCCTGACTCCTAAGCTTAAAAATATAAGGTTTATAATTTCCAGATTTTTTGGAAGATGTGTTTACTATTTCAAATTAGTACTCCTTTCACATAAGTGATTAGCCCTCCCTTGATGTGCCATAATTTTATGAGACTTTGTAATGGTTTAGAAGTAGTATCAACTGATGCTAGAAAATTTGGAAATATTAGAAACACTTAAGTAGAGGAAAGAGTCCTTCTGTATTCAAAGCTTTCAAACATGTAAATGCTTAAATTCCTTCAAGGTTTTAACTCTTTTCAACCCTTTTTGTCATTAAAACATATCTTTATTTTTCTTTAGTATAATTTTATATCCCCCTATTTTATACTTTATTATATATTTCCGTGCAGGAGCTATATATAAAATAGGATGTGCAAGAAACTATATATAAGATATTATGTATAACACTAAATATATATACACAGTATATATATTGCTCTCTATATATAGTTGGATAGGAAACTAATCTCCTTATTTAGTTTAAAGAAGTATTCATTTATTTCCTTTTGTAACTCTAGTACCTTATTAATAGATCTGTTTGTTGTGATTCACTCAGTTATAAACAATGCAGTATGTATTTTTGTGGCTATTATGTAATTTTTTTCTAATTTATGAATAAACTTCTCTGAAAAAGGGGTCCAAAAATAGCTTTTAGGGGTACTTGTGCATACTTGGTTTAAATGTGAAGTTATTGTGTCTAAATACTTATTGTTTCCCCCCCTCCAGGAAATACTATTTTTGTTTCATACTGTAGTTGTATTCAAGAATATGGGCCAAATTTAAAGATTTTTATTGATGATATTTGCCCTTAATCATTGCTTCTTTCATTTTCATTTGAAATATGGGGATTATTACCCTGTAGAAAATCCCAAAAAAAGTATACTGATTGAAAAATTGCACATCTGAAGAGGAATTTAACCTTTTCTGATCCAATAGTTATTTCTGGCTTAGGAAGTTTATTTTGACAACTGTGCTTTAAAAATGTTAAAGCTTCTAAATACAGAGTTAGTTTTGCTGATATCCAGTACACATGTACATTATTTCATGATGAGAATGGTTAAAAGCCAATGTTGAATAAATGCAAAACATTGTCATGATTCCCAAAAATCTTTTAAAACTTGACTTTAGTTAAATAATCATGTTATCTAAAGAGAAATTATAGTCTTTGAGAATTGTATGTTTCTACAAATGTGCTTCCTAATGTATCCAGTATGATTCACTAATACCTAGACTTTGTCCTTATTTGGTTTATTCCAAAGGATAAACCTGAGACTTGGAGACATAAGCATATGGAGAAATGATGTTAGAGTCAATCATATTACCCTTCAATGAAATAAATATACATGTATATAAATGCATATACATCTTATTAGAGCTTTTAAGCAATCACAAGTACTCAGTATGTAACAGAGCAACATGGTTAAAAGCATTGACTGTCTAAATTCTGCTTTTGCCATTTTCAAGCTTACCTGGCCTTAAGAAAGTTACTGATTTTATTTGTACTTTAATTTCTTGGGTATAAAGAAAGAATAATAGTAGTAGTATTATCATAAGAATAAAACGGGTTGATGTACTTGAAGCACCAAGAACAACATTTGGGACATAGTAAGTGCCATATAGATATAAACAACTCCTATTGCTGCTATGAATTTAGTATCTTCCTATACACTGTGGGGACATAACAATGTCTGGCTTTAAAAAACCTGAAAATATAAGAAATGCATAAGACACAATAAGGAAAAAGAATAAAATGTTAATTTTATATTAATTTACTTTTAGCATGATATTATTTATACATGTTTTTCATCTTCAGTATGATTATAGACTTCATACATTCTATCTTAATATCAAAAAATCTTTACTAGCTCTGCGATGTTAGGAAAGTTACTTAACCATGCTGTGATCCAGTTTTCTTACCGTTAAATGGGGAAAATAGTAATTGTACCTATCATAGGGTAAATGAGGGAATTAAATAAGTTAAATAACGTGTTCAGGTTAGAGTGGTGCCTGGTATATAGTAATATTGAGAAAGAGAGACAGACAGAACACACACACACACACACACAGAAAGGGGGGGGGAGGGAGAGAGAGAAGAGCTTATAGTCTAGAAGAGAACAACCAATAAATTATTAAATTAATAATGAATAAGACAACTTCAGATACTGATCACACTATGGAAAAACTGAAAGGGAATGGAAGATTTAGAGTATATGTAATACAATCTAAAAAAGCAATTAACAAGATAGAGAAGGAAATATATTGCTAAAAATTTAATTCACAATGAAGACAAAATATTTTCCTTGTTCTTACAGAATACATTTAGCAAGCATTTAGTGTAATGGTTAAGAAGCCTGCATTCCATATCATTGTGCCTGAGTTTGATGCCCAGATCCTGCCATGTCTCCAACTTCCTACCAGTGCAGACTCAGAGATAGAAATAGTAGCTCAAGAAACTGGATTCCTGCTGCCCACTCAGGAGACCTGGCTGGAGTTCTGGTTTCTAGAACTGGCCTCACCCCAGCCTCCCTAAGGGAATTTAAGGAATTAACCAGTAGATGAGAGATTTCTGCCTACTTCTCTAAATACTTTTAAGAATTAAAATTTTAGTAAAATTATAATTAAAATATTATATATCAGAATCTATATGATGCACCTAAGCCAAAGCTTACAAAATGTCAATAACCTCAAAAAATTATAATAATATTTAGTTTCAGCTCAGAAACATAATAAAGATTTCTATATTTATTTATGAAATAAGAACAACAATGATTTTTAAAATTAATGATAATAACACAAGAATCTACAGGGTAATGCACTCACGATGTAAAAATTTTAAATGAAATATTAGCTAATGATATCCTATAGTATACATTAAAAGAAAAATATATTACAGTCTGATGGGATTTATTCTTGGAATACAAGAAAGTTCCAACATTAAGGACTAATAAATCTAAGGAAGACAATCACGTAAATATCTCTGAAAACATTTGATGAAATCAAACACCTATACCTCACTTAACAGACATTCTCAAAACTGCATGGATGCATCTATATGAAGGGGTCTTCAAAAAATTCATGGAAATACAGATTCTGAAAGCATTATACATGGATTTCAAAAACTTTTAGACTAAAATAAATCTTTTTTTTCCATTTCTATGAACTTTTTGATGAATCCTCATGTATGTGATCTTTCATCCCAGAAGTCAGCAGGATATTGCCTATTATTTAATTGCAAGGAAATTAATCATTAACCACATCAAAGCTTTAGTCCTAACTTCTTGTTTTCAAGATGAAATTTAATGTATTGTGTCCCTCCAAATGCATATTATGAAGCCCCATCCCCTAGTGTGACTAGACTTAAAGTTAGAGACTTTAGGAGGGTGATATGGTTAAATGTAGTCATAAGTGTGGAGTCCTAATTTAATAGGACCAGGGTCCTTAGAAGACAAAAAGATACTAGGACTGAGCAGTCAGGAGCCATGTGAAGAATACATAGCATGATGTATATATAGCATGAGGCAGTGGCCATGGGAAAACTATGTAGCATGATATATGCATAGCATAGGCCTCCCCAGAAACCAATTTTGCCTGCAGCTTGATCTTGGATTCTGAGCCTGTACAAGAGAAAAAATTACTATTGTTGAAGTTACATAATCTGGTATTTGTTATGGCAAATGTAAAAGGCTAATACAGAAGAAAAAAAGAAAGGTAATAAATAAATTCAAAATGTGTTTTTTTAATAATTTTAGTATTTTGCATTCCACAGTGTTTTGCATATTTGTATTATCATGTAATAATTATATACATTTATAAGGCCCACGAGATGTTTTAAGACTTTTATATAGTTGGTACCAATCAAATTATTATAACTGACATTTTCATCTTCTTATCATTCCTTTACATTTAAAGTCTTTGAATCTCTCTTCTAGTTCTTCTAACAACAGATAATAGTTTACTATAAACCATAGTCATTCCACTGTGCTGTGGAACACTGGACCATGTTCTTTGCATCTTACTGTGTTAGAAAGTGTAATAAAAAATAATATGAGGAAGATGAAAACAAGCATTTGGAAGCAATTCATCTGATAAAGGATTGATACCTTTATAGGGAACAAAAAAATCTAACCAAAAAATCCGAATAATCTTATTTCAAAAATGGGAACATTATTTGAATAGACCTTTCTCAAAAGAAGAAATGCAAGTGACTAGCAAAGGTGTGAAAAAATGGTCAGTATTGTTAGTCATTAAGGAAATGCAAATGAAAACCAGAATGAGATATCATCTGACCCCAGTTAGGAGGGCTACCTACAAAAACACAAAAAACTACTAGTGCTGGTAAAGTTGTGCTGTCTCCACTAAGATCATGTTTAGGCAATGACACAATAAAGGTCATTTTGGGAACAACTGCGAAAATCTGAGTGTGAATTGGATATTATATTTTATTAAGGTTGTGTTACTAATTTTGTTACATGTGAAAAACTTTTTGTTTGTGAAGGAAATGTTTACTCAAGGTGCATACAGAAGTACTCATGTATGACATTTCATGTTATCTGATGCATTTTAACTATTTAAGAGTATAGAAATTAGGAAAGAATAAAAAGGTGCAGAACCTCTGCTGGGTCTTAAACCATTTGGCAGTATTCAAGTATTTATTTTGAGAAAATGTTCACACAGCTTTCTCCGCCTGGCTGTTTCTGAACACGCTCCACGGGAGAAGAGGCCGGTCTTTGCTGATGGACCATCAGTAGTGAGTTCGGTACCTTTGACCTGAAAAGGGAAATTGTGTGCCATATACCTGCAGACTCTAGAAGTGCCTTCACACAAGCTGGCATGAGTTGGGTTAGTAGAAATCTGCATTTACTGTCATATTCCCATGCTCTCCCTTCACCCTCCACATGCAAAATGAGCAAACAAAATGAAGTGTTGCTTCTAGGAGGGTGGAATTATCTTTAAGAAATATAACTTCCTATACATTACAGCTACAGACTCTGGACAAAATACAAAAGCAACTACAACAGGGCTCTAGAGACTGAGCAAATCCAGCGCACCCAAGAAGGTTCTGGAGGGGAATTGATCCTCAAAAGTGTGAGGTCAGACTAGCTCATCCTCCAAGACTCAGCATGCCATTTTCCTTCCTAAGAAAGTAAGGAGACCAGAATAACCACTGTTTTCCAGAGAGCGTAAGGGAAATGCCAAAAACCAGCTGAAGGAGAACTGAAAATTCTCCATATAAACTCTGCCCAAGTCTCTTGTTGATTATTGAACTGGGAAGGAAGGAGCAGGCTGAAAGGGGTCTGAGGGGAGATATGAGCTGTTGCCCAACACGGTCAACACAAGAGAAGGGCAGCTAATCGAGTTCATTTCCTAATGGAACACAAATAGCAGTGTTCAGAGGAGAAAAAATGGACTAGATTAAGACAGAACACAATGCAACACAATATAATACAATTCTGTAACTCTGTTTTTCTTTTAACCTATTTCTTTTGATTTTCAGATTTCAGACCCTGTATATTTTCTTCTCTTTTATTATTTATTTATTTGACAGGCAGAATTAGACAGTGATAGAGAAAGAGACAAAGGTCTTCCTTCCATTGGTTCACTCCCCAAGTGGCTGCAACAGTTGGAGCTGTGCTGATCCGAAACCAGGAGCCAGGTGCTTCCTCCTGGTCTCCCATGTGGGTGCAGGGGCCCAAGGACTTGAGCCATCCTCCACTGCTTTCCCAGGCCACAGCAGAGAGTTGGACTGGAAGAGGAGCAGCCAGGATTAGAACTTGGCACCCATATAGGATGCCAGTGCCGCAGGCAGAGGATTAACCTAGTGTGCCATGGCGCTGACCCCAGACCTTGTATATTTTCAAAAGGAAAATCTAATAACAGGATATCTATGCTGTACTATTCAAATGGTTTTTAAAAATGTATTTATTTATTTGAAAGTCAACATTACAGGAAGAGAGGAAGAGACAGAGAGAAACAGAGACAGAGGTAGAGACAGAGGTAGAGATAGAGATAGAGATAGAGATAGAGATAGAGATAGAGATAGAGATAGACAAAGGTGGGGGAGGGAGAGAGAGAGAAAGAGAAAGATCTTCCATCTGCTGGTTCACTCCCCAAGTAGCCACAATGGCCAGGTCAGAGCCAGGCCTCAACCAAGAGTTCGGAGCTTCATATAGTCTCCCACGTGGGTGGTGGGGGCCCATAGACTTGAGCAATCTCACGTGGCTTTTCCCATCCCATTAGCAGAGACCTGGATCAGAAGCTAGGTAATGGGGACATGAACCAGTGCCCGTATGGGAAGCTGGCATGGCAGGCTACACCACAATGCCAGACCTCAAATGTATTATTTTTTGTTTTTGTATTCATATAAAAGGAATAAATTTTATGTATTTCATATATACAGTTTAAGAGCATAATGGTATTTTCTGCCCTACCCATCCTTCAACCCTCCCTCTTCTTTCCTTTCTTATTTTTCTTTTAATTTTTATAATGACATACTTTCAATTTACTTTATAATCACAAAATTAACCCTCCATTAAATAAAGAATTCAGTAAGTAGTGCATAGAAAAACCTCTGTTCCTCAAGAATTTAGACAATAGCTATAAACAATACTCAAATCTCAAAATATCTTTTGCTCATATATGTTATATTTTTTGTACTCTATATTCATTACCACAAATCAGGGGAAAATATGATATTTGTCTGTTTGGGACTTTCTTATTTCATTAAGCATAAAAGTCTCTAATTATATCTATTTTGTTGGAAAAGACAGGATTTCATTCTTTTTTATGCCTGAGAAGTATTCCATTGGGTATATATACTCCACTTTCTTCATCCAGTCACCAATCGATGGACATCTGGGTTGATTCCATATCTTAGCCATTGTGACTTTAGCTGCTATAAAGCATCTTTCATATGCTGATATGATTTCGCTTGGGTAAATTGCCAGGAGTGTAATGTCTGGGTCATGTTGCAGATCTATTTTCAGATTTCAGAGGAATCTCCATACTGTTCTCCATAATGGCTTATATTCCCACCAAAAGGGTATTAGGGTGCCTTTCCCCCCACATTCTCACCAGCATTTGTAATTCTTTGTGCTTGTTTTTGGATGATAGTCATTCTTAATCGGGATGAAGTGATTTTGATTCGCATTTCTCTGATGGCTAGTGATGTTGAGCAAAGGGACATTTGATATTTAAAGTGTTCTGTTGATTCTTAGAATAATAAGCTTTTGACAATTCTATTTCTTTGAGGTGAAGTTATGTTTTGCCACACCAAAAAAAAAAAAAAAAAAGAAAGAGCTCAAATGTTGGTCTCCCTCCAGTTGTCTATGAAATTGCCATTTTGTATTATGTTCTTCGAAGTACTCTGCCATAAGGAAATGGACTTTATGATTAAGTTTATTGTGACATCTTTTCATCTGTAGTCAGATCTTAGGCAGCAAATTCATTCTCCATAATTAATACTGTAATAGCTTCTATTTCTGGAAGAATTTGCAAACTAGCAAATATGTTCAAATTTTTAAAAGAATTTGAAATTTTAAGTTGGGTATCTTGTTCTCAATTGACTTAGGTTTGAGAGCATTATTCATGTTTATTCCAATATACTCATGTTTTCACTTAGTAAATTTTTATATCATTTAAGAAACCAAAGTATTGAGTTGAATGACTTACTGACATTTGCAAAGACTATTTTGTGGCAGGAACAGCTGAGAATTTAGGACTCCTGATTTCCAGCAAAGAACTATTTCATTGTAGTATATTAACTTTTATAATGATCTGTGTGGGCACTCAATTAGAGTTATCTTATTTTCCCTAATCTCAGAGAATCTTTTGGTTTCTGAAGTAAAATAAAATGAGAACAGTAAGTTAAAATGTTCACTAATGTTCCCTATATTGTAGATATAGCTAATAGCAAATGTCTGGATCTGGCCATGTGTTCTAAACAGTGAGCTAAGTCCTGAAGGAGCATGTTCTGGCTGCTTGAGAAATGCAGAATAAAGGAGACCCTTTTGTTTGCTTGTCTAACCCACAGCTATTCCAATCCTCAGTGTTCATTCATTGGTTTCAAAGATGTTTATGGATCCTCAGGGAGGTTTGAGGAACTAGATTAAGACCTAGACCCCAGGTAAATAGGTGTACGTATTTTATGTCTCCAGTCTGGCTGGATTTGTAGTCAAGAAGAGAGATGTGGGCTGGGGACTTGAGGAGGTGACTAAAAACAGAAGTCACTGGGATATGGATTATCTCCTACCCATTCTTGAACAGTTACTAAATTTTATATTTGCCTTACTTTAATTATTTAAAGCCTTCGCCTTGATTTATGACTCCCCTCTTATCTTCCTTCTACCATGGCTCCCATTTTTGTTTTGTTTTTAAAACTTGTTTATTTATTTATACAAAAGGCAAAATGACAGAGCGAGACAGGGAGAGACAGAGAGAATGATATTTTCCATCAGTTGATTCACTCCCCAGATGACTACAATAGCCACTTCTGGGCCAGGCCAAAGCCAGGAGACAGGAGCTCCATATTGGTTTTCTATGTGTGTGCCTGGGGCCCAAACACTCAGGCCATCCTTTACTGCTTTCTCTGGAACATTAACATGTAGCTGGAGTGGAAGCAGAGCAGTTGGGACTCAAACCAGCACTCGGATATGGGGCACCTCTGAGCCACAATGCTGGCCTATCAGACCCCCATTTTTTTAAGATGTGCTAAGAATTCTGATCCATACAATTATTGCTAATCTGGAGCATAAAAGTTTTCAATATTTTTGTCACTTCGCCATTAGGTATATTATCTCAAAAATCCGAATTGAATATAATGTATGGTTTTCCTATTTCTTTAAACATACTGTTTTGAGGGGAGAGTGAGTTTTTTTGCCAGCGAGCTTTATTGATGCCTCCTGTCTTCCAGAGGTCTAATGAGAGGGGAGGAGTAGGATCTCCTGTCAAAGAGGAGTTATCAGTCAGGAGAGTGAAGAGACAACCGACAGAATGGGAAAAAATATTTGCAAACTATGCAACAGATAAAGGGTTAATAACCAGAATCTACAAAGAGATCAAGAAACTCCACAAAAACAAAACCAACAACCCACTTAAGAGATGGGCCAAGGACTTCAAAAGACATTTTTCAAAAGAGGAAATCCAAATGGCCAACAGGCACATGAAAAAATGTTCAAGGTCACTAGCAATCAGGGAAATGCAAATCAAAAGCACAATGAGGTTTCACCTCACCCCGGTTAGAATATGGCTCACATGCAGAAATCTACCAACAACAGATGCTGGCGAGGATGTGGGGAAAACAGGACACTAACCCACTGTTGGTGGGAATGCAAACTGGTCATGCCACTATGGAAATCAGTCTGGAGATTCCTCAGAAACCTGAATATAACCCTACCGTTCGACCCAGCCATCCCACTCCTTGGAATTTACCCAAAGGAGTTTAAATTGACAAACAAAAAAGCGGTCTGCACCCTAATGTTTATTGCAGCACAATTCACAATAGCCAAGACCTGGAACCAACCTAAATGCCCATCAACGGTAGACTGGATAAAGAAATTATGGGATATGTATTCTTTAGAATACTATACCGCAGTAAGAAACAACGAAATCCAGTCATTTGCAACAAAATGGAGGAATCTGGAACACATCATGCTGAGTGAAGTAAGCCAGTCCCAAAGGGACAAATACCATATGTTCTCCCTGATCAGTGACAACTGACTGAACACCAAAAAGGAAACCTCCTGAAGTGAAATGGACACTATGAGAAATGGTGACTTGATCAGCATAGCCCTGACTGCTAATGGACAACTTAATACATTATCCCTCTTAGTATTTTTTTTGTCTGTTCTACTTAATATGACTGGTTTAATTCTGTAATTATCACACAGTTATTCTTAAGTGTTGAAAATTAACTGAAATGTGATCCCTGTTAAACATAAGAGTGGGAATAAGAGAGGGAAGAGATGTATAATTTGGGGCAGGCTCGGGCTGACTTGCCCCAATTGGTAGAGTTGGAAACATACCAGGGGATTCCAGTTCAATCCCATCAAGGTGGCATGTGCCAATGCCATCTCACTACTCCAAGTGATCAATTTCAGTTCACAATTGATCATAATGAAAGGACTAAGAGTCAAAGGGAGCACATAAACAAGTCTAGTACCTGCTAACACTAACCGATAGAATAAATAAAGGGGAGAGTGATCCAACATGGGAAGTGAGATACTCAGCAGACTCATAGAATGGCGGATGTCCTAAATAGCACTCTGGCCTCAGAATCAGCCCTAAAGGCACTCGGATCTGGCTGAAAAGCCCATGAGAGTATTTCAGGCATGGAAAGCCAAGACACTCTGGCAAAAAGATCTCTGTGAGTGAGATCCCAGTGGAAAGAACAGGTCTTCAAAGAGGGAGGTGCCTTTCTCTGAAGGGAGGAGAGAACCTCCACTTTGACTATGACCGTGTCTAAAGAAGATAAGAGTCGGAGAACTCAAGGGGCTTCCATAGCCTTGGATACTCATGACTGGTGCACAGGGAGATTACTGATGCCATAAACAGGAGTGTCAATTTGTAAAGTCAACAACAGGAGTCACTGTGCACTTACTCCTCATGTAGGATCTCTGTCCTTAATGTGCTGTACATTGAGGCTTAATGCTATAACGAGTACTCAAACAGTATATTTCACTTTGTGTTTCTATGGGGGTGCAAACGATTGAAATCTTTACTTAATGTACACTAAACTGATCTTCTGTAAAAAAAAAAAAAAAAAAGAAATTATCAATTCCCAACTTGACTCTCACTGGGATTAAACATGACAATAGGTCTGATCTGATTTCATCATCATTTAAAAAAAATTCAAATCATGTATTATTTTTCACTTTATGTTTCTGTGTGGGAACAAACTGTTGAAATCCTTACTTAAGGTATACTAAGCTGATCTTCTGTATATTAAGAAAATGAATCTTGATGTGAATGGAAGGGGAGAGGGAGTGGGAAAGAGGAGGGTTGTGGGTGGGAGGGACGGTATGGGGGGGGGAAGCCACTGTAACCCATGAGTCGTACTTTGGAAATTTATATTCATTAAATAAAAGATAAAAAAAAATGCTCCTTTGAAGTGAAAGAAATGAATATTAAAAAAAGTTATTTTGACAGACAATGAGAAAGACTACATTCACTTCATTTTTCATGAGTATATTGTCCTAACTATTCTATTTTATTATTGTTTATTGTTGGCAATTTCTTGCTTAATTTATAAATTAAACTTTGTCATAAAAAAAAAAGGAGTTATCTTTTCTCTCCACTCCAGAGGAGGTTTGGTGCTCTGATGGCAGAGATGGGCAAGCAAATATTTACAAATAACCTGGAAGTCCTCCAGGAAGCTGGCCTTTTCCTTTGGTTAATTAAAATTTTTGTTTAGATAGACAAATAATTATAAATGTTTATGTATATATGGACCACGTTTTCTCTTTGTGTTCTTCCGTTGATGGCCACTTAGGTTGAGTCCATGTCTTGACTATTGTGAATAATGTAGCATGAACATGGCGGTGCAGATATATCTTTAACATATCAACTTCAGTTCTTTCGGATGTATAAAGTGGGATGGGATTGCTGGATCATATGGTAGTTCCATTTTTAGGTCTTTGAGGAATCTCCATACTGTTCTCCATATGGCCAGATTAATTTGCATTCCCACATGATATTTCCATGGACGTTTATTTGCTCAATTCTCCCATTCCTTTCTTAGATAACAAGCCATTCACTCATTTGAAATGTTAGACTTTGCTTTAAAATTGTTTCTGCACTAATCTATTTTTTTTGAGGTAATAAGTACCAGACAACATATATTTGGTTTTAAAGAAAAATATGTAGAGGCAGACATTGTGGTTAAGCCACTGAGCGGGACACCCATATCACATATCAGAGTACCTGGGACAAAATCCTGCCTCCATTTCCAATCCAGCTTCCCGCTCATGTGCACCCTGGGAAGCAGCAGATGATAGCTCAAGTATTTGGGTTCTTGCCACCCATGTGGGAGACATGGATGGAGTTTCCAGGTCCCTGGTTTTAGTCTGGCCTGGCTCTGGCTGTTGTGGGCATTTGGAGAACAAATCAGCAGAATGAACATTTCTGTTTGTCTCTTTCTTTTTCTGTGTCTTTCAAACAAATGAAAATAAATAAATAAACCTTAATAGAAAAACATACAGCCAAAGTTCATATGGCTTCTTAATATTATTTGTTTCAGTTCACAATTGATCACACTGATAGGTCTAAGAGTCAAAGGGATCACACAAACAAGACTAGTGTCTCCTAATACAAACTGATAGAATAAAAAAGGGAGAGAACGATCCAACATGGGAAGTGGGATACACAGCAGACTCACAGAATGGCAGATGTCCTAAACAGCACTCTGGCCTCAGAATCACCCCTTAAGGCATTTGGATCTGGCTGAAGAGCCCAGGAGAGTATTTTAGGCATGGAAAGCCAAGACACCCTGGGGAAAAAAAAAAAAAAAAAAAACTAAATGAAAGATTTCTGCGAGTGAGATCCCAGTAGAAAGAGAAAGAACGGGCCATCAAAGAAGGAGGTACCTTTCTCTGAAGGGAGGAGAGAACTTCCACTTTGACTATGACCTTGTCTAAATAAGATCGAAGTCAGCGAACTCAAGAGGCTTCCATAGCCTTGGCAACTCAAGACAAGAGCCTAGGGAGATTTCTGACACCATAAACAAGAGTGTCAAATTGTTAACAACAGGAGTCACTGTGTACTTACTCCTCATGTGGGATCTCTGTCCTTAATGTGTTGTACAATGTGAATTAATGCTATAACTAGTACTCAAAGAGTATTTTACACTTTATGTTCTGTGTGGGTGCAAACTGTTGAAATCTTTACTTAATATATACTAGATCTGTCTTCTGTATATAAAGATAATTGAAAATGAATCTTGATGTGAATGGAATGGGAGAGGGAGCGGGAGATGTGAGGGGTGTGAGTGGGAGGGAAGTTATGGGGCGGAAAAAGCCATTGTAATCCATAAATTGTACTTTGGAAAATTATATTTACTAAATAAAAGTAAAAAAAATATTATTTGGTACAGTTTTTTGGACTTTCTGTCAAAAGAATGGGGGAAGACCCAGAGAATAGCTACTTAATGATTCAAAATATCCAACACTTAAAAAGCACAATAAGCTTAGTAGGAAATACAATTCCTGTTGCCACTCTTCAATATTGCTATTGCAATGAAAAAGTAGCCAGAGACAATACATAAACAAATAGGTAACTCCATTCCAATAAAAATGATTGTATATACAGAAGCAATGGGCTGGGTTGGATCCACAGGCCATTGTCATCCTATGGTATTCTCTATATCATAGATCTACTTAGTAGTTCTTCACTATCTTCTACAGAAAACTTGACTGCTGGGGCTAGCATTGTCATTCAATGGGTTAAATCTATGCCCATGATGCTGGCATCCCGTATGGTACCAATTTGATTCTTGACTGCTCTACATCCAATCCAGCTTCCTGCTAAGGCGCCTGGAAAAGCAGCAGATGGCCCAAGTCGCTGGGCCTGTGTACCCACACGGGACACCCAGAAGATCCTGTCTTCTGGCTTCAGCCTGGACCAGCTCTGGCCATTGTGGCCATTTGAGGAATGAACCAATGGATGAAAGATCTCTCTCTGTCTCTCTCTGACTCTCTCTCTCTCTGTCTCTCTTTTTCTGACTCTCTCTCTCTCTCTGTAACTAATTGTGCCTTACAAATGAATAAATATGTATTTTTTAAAAAATAAAGGATTACCCCCATTGCCACTGTCATTCCAACACCTCCTTCACAATTTTATACCAGAGGGTCTTCATAAAAGTTCTCAGTGTTTGTGCAGATCTTATCTTATTGTATTATGGCTATCTTATTTGTTATTCAGATCCTAGCCTCAAGCCGGTTCCTCTGGGAAGCCTTGTGGCCTGCCCTCTTTAATAGCCTCAAGGTTTCTTCCTCCGGAGCATCCAGCCCAGTGGCATTTCTTAACTCTGCAAGTACTTGAGTCAGTGTCATTCCTTCAATCTGCTACCATTAAACCCTGAGGTCCTTGAGAGAAAGTGTACTATATTTCTTTTGTTTAACATTGCATCCTCCAGACCCAGTGTCCAGCCTACAGTTGGCATCCAGTACATTTTTGCTGCCTGCCTAAAAAATGAATGAATGCATGGATAATTATCCCCCTCCCTCCACCACTATCCTTCAACATCCCATTTTGACCTGTGAGTGTTTTCTCATGTACTCTCTTCATAAGTTGTTTCTGTCCATGCTTCTCTCTCCTTCTTTCCATGTCACTCTTCCTTTGTGTGCTGGGAGGATTTTCTATTACTGCAGACTCACCCCTCTGTCTTTTAAAGGTTTCTTTCTTTTCAGTGGAGAGTTCTTGCTTTCCTTCGACCCTTGTCAAATCCTTCCAGCTAAAGATCTCTAGAAACTGGTGTAGTAGAACACAATTGCCTTTGTTGACTTGCTGCTGTGAAGACAAGCAACTTGGGAACCAGAAGGACAACTCGGTAGAAAGGTATAAAAAAGGATTTAGAGGATTTGGAATTATGCTTGGTAATTTTGAGGGGCGTTCAAACAAACAGGCTTTTGTTCTGGATTGGCTGCCACTATCAGGAAGCAAGGATAGTTCTTTGGGCAACTTAATAATTATGGTTTAGGTAATAGAGAAGAATGGAGCACAGCTCAAGCTGTAATTGGTAAAAAGACAATGACTCCTCACAGTGTTTGGTCATGTTAGTGTGTGTGTGTGTGTGTGTGTGTGTATGTGGTTAGTATGGTAACCTTGTTTTTGATGTTAAGACAAAATTACAGAGGGTTTTGTTTTTGTCTTGATCCACTAAAGACACAGAGTGGCCTTGTCTAATTTTGTCATCCTCTGAAATTGCTTATATTCAATAGTGGAAAACTAAGGACTAGCTCTGAGTGGAATTCCAGCTTTTATCAGCAGCACTAAGGACCTATAGCGTGCCAGGTAGCTCTGGCTTTCAGAAGCTGCTTTCTTTTTTTCTCAGGGTCAGTCTTCCCATGAAGAGTGGGCGTCCACACAAAGGTTCCTTGTGCAAAGTTCAGGGTCTGGGAGTCTGGGTCTGGGCAGGGAGATTTTGGCCAGTATGTAACAGAATTTCATGAGCTCACACAGTTGTTTATCATTTCTCATTTTGTCCTAGTTGAAAAGTCACATTAAGTTATGAAGTTAGATAAATAAAATTCCTCACTTATTGAAAAATGCATGGCATTCGTTGGCCTGTGCTCGCTATTATAATCACAGAGAAGAATTTGAAAGCACAACAGCTCTCAACCATCTCTCCCAAATACATAATCTTTTAAAACTCTCATGAGTAATTTTGCCAAGATTGCCTATATGTTGTCAATAAGGAAAACAAATAACTGAATTTTGGGAAAGAGCCAACCCAACAGCATCAACCATTAGTTGCAACCATTGCCCCTAGGTGTGACATGGAAAAAGGATTTATGAGAAATTGCCAATAGTAAGTCAGAGTCTAAAGACTGTGATAAGGAAAGATGCATATCATAATTCAGTCTGAGGTTTCATATTAACTGTAGATGGCTCTGTGATAAGGGAGTTATGTAATCTTGCACTGGCAAATAGGAACAGAAAGCACCTGATTCACCAAAATACCTCTGAGATCAGTGAAGTGAAAGTTATAGAGGTTTCCGGAAGACCTTGTTCAGTACATATTTCTGGGAGAAAGAGCTTGTGGCTAAGGAAAGGCAATGATTGGTTACCGGGTCAAGGTTGAGCAGAAGCAAAGCACTAAGCCATTG